GAAAAATTCACAAAAAATTAACGAAGACTCAGCAACTGTTCTAAATTCTTGGGTTCGTTAGAGGACCCCCTAAGTCGTGTGCAAACCTGATTTGGCTTTGATCTGAACTTTCGTTAATTTATGGTGAATTGTTTTCTCCCCCATAGGAAAGCATGGAGCTGTCAGATTTTGACAGGTCCATTGGTTCCTATGGTCCAAAAAAAAAAAGAAATTCACAAAAAATTAACGAAAAGTCAGATCAAAGCCAAATCAGGTTTGCACATGACTTGAGGGGTCCTCTAACGAATCCAAGCATTAAGAACCGTTTTTGACCCTTCTAAGACACTTTTTTAATTGAAAAAAGAAACATCGTTAAGTGAAGCAGGGGACCTAAAATAGCATTCGTTATGCGAAGCCTGGTCCCAAACTTCGCTAAGCGAAAATTGCTCATAGGAAACATCGTTATACGGTGCATATTATTTTCTAAAAAACCACATCGTTATGCAAATTCATCGCTAAACGAGGCAATCGTTAAGCGAGGCACCACTGTATGTTAAATATATGGAATAGATATAGAGAGAAGCTATGTCCCTCAACTTCAACAGTTAAATTAGTGACTGAAATAGAAAGTTCTCATCCAAACCTAAAGGGTTTAGTAGATTTGTTTAAAGATAAAAGTGTTGCAAGATTGAAGGATTGGATGAATAAAATGAGATTGAAAGAATTAATTATGATTACATTTCAAACTAATAAACTATCATAGTATAATTATATTCAGTTAGACACTTGGACAAGTGAATGGTTGAAAACTAATGGTAAATATAGAGAATGCACTAAGTACCAACAATTTCTACCATCACATCAAGAAATGCAGAAAGATGTTTTGATGAAGGGAGTAGGAAGTAGAATATATAATATAATTTCAGAACAAGAGGAAAAAGAGTGGGGAACAGAAGGTTTGAAATTAATTTGGGAAAATGATTTAAAGACAGAAATTAAAATAGAGGATTGGATAAAAATGTGGAGGATGAGAGTTTTAAGGTCAATGTCGATAAGAATAAAGGAAAAATGTTTAAAAATCTGTTTAAGGTAGTATTTGACTCCTGTAATATTGATTATAATAAATTCAGATTATTTCAAAGCTTGTTGGAAATGTGATGTAGAAACTGGCATGTATTATCATATGTGGTGGGATTGTAAACTGGTTAAGAAATTTTGGAAACTGATTTTTAAGGAAATAAGTGATATATTTGGAAGAAGATATTGACTTTAACTCTAAAATTGCTTTGTTGTTAATTTTTTTGATAAGATACCGTATTTTTCGCTCCATAAGACGCACCTCTCCACAAGACGCACCAAATTTTTAGGAGAAGAAAACAGGAAAAAATAATTTGTTTTCTTCTCCTAGAAATTGGTGAGCCTTATGTAGAGGTCCATCTTATGGAACACACCCTAGGACCCTTTGGAGGCTCACCCTGCCACCCCGGGGGTCAGAAGGGGTGAAATCGCCAGCTTCTGGGACTCTTCTGAAGCTTCCCAAGCCTCAAAAGAATCCCAGAAGGTGGCAATTTTGCCCCCTCTGACCCCTGGGGGGGCAGGGTGAGTCTCTAAAGGGTCCTGGAACACACCCTAGGACCCTTTAGAGACTGACCCTACCCCCCAGGCATCAGAGGAGGTGAAATGGCCACCTTCTGGGACTCTTCAGAGGCTTCCCAAGCCTTAAGAGACTCCCAGAACCTGGTGATTTCACCGACGCTGGCCCCGTGCGGGGGTGGGAGGAGCATGGCAAGGGTACTGGGAGGCTCTCTCAGACCCTTGTGATACTCCCTCCACCCTCCCACGGGGCCAGGGGGGGTAAAATTGCCAGCTTCTGGGAGAGTTTGGAGGCTTTGCAAGCTTCCAAACTCTCCCAGAACCTGGCGATTTCACCGGCGCTGGCCCCGTGCAAGGGTGGGAGGAGCATGGCAAGGGTCCTGAGAGATTCCCTCGGACCCTTGCGACGCTCCCCCCACACCCCCACGGGGCCAGGGGGGTAAAATAGCCAGCTTCTGGGAGAGTTTGGAGGCTTTGCAAGCTTCCAAACTCTCCCAGAACCTGGTGATTTCACCGGCGCTGGCCCCGTTCGAGGGTGGGAGGAGCGTGGCAAGGGTCCTGGGAGACTCCCTCGGACCCTTGTGATGCTCCCTCCACCCCCCCACGGGGCCAGGGGGGTAGAATCGCCCGCTTCTGGTAGAATCGCCAGCTTCTGGGACTCTTCAGAGGCTTCCCAAGCCTCAAGAGACTCCCAGAACCTGGCGATTTTGCCAGCGCTGGCCCTGTGCGGAGGTGGGAGCAGCGTGGCAATGGTCTTGGGAGACTCCCTCGGACCCTTGTGATGCTCCCCCACCCCCCCACGGGGCCAGGGGGTAAAATCACCAGCTTCTGGGAGTTTTTGGAGGCTTCGCAAGCTTCCAAACACTCCCAGAACCTGGCAGTTTTGCCAACGCTGGCCCCGTGCGGGGGTGGAAGGAGGGTGGCAAGGGTCCTGGGAGGCTCCCTCAGACCCTTGTGACACTCCCCCCACACCCCCATGGGGCCAGGGGGGTAAAATTGCCAGCTTCTGGGAGAGTTTGGAGGCTTCCAAACTCTCCCAGAACCTGGCGATTTCACCGGCGCTGGCCCCATGCGGGGGTGGGAAGAGCATGGCAAGGGTCCTGGGAGACTCCCTCAGACCCTTGTGACACTCCCCCCACACCCCCATGGGGCCAGGGGGGTAAAATTGCCAGCTTCTGGGACTCTTCAGAGTCTTCCCAAGCCTCAAGAGACTCCCAGAACCTGGCGATTTTGCCGGTGCTGGCCCCGTGCGGAGGTGGGAGGAGCGTGGCAATGGTCCTGGGAGACTCCCTCGGACCCTTGTGACGCTCCCCCCCGTGGGGCTAGGGGGGGTAAAATCACCAGCTTCTGGGAGAGTTTGTAGGCTTCGCAAGCTTCCAAACACTCCCTGAACCTGGTGATTTCGCCGGCGCTGGACCCGTGTGGGGGTGGGAGGGGCATCGCAAGTTTCTGAGTGAGCTTTCCAGGACCCTTGCGACGCTCCCCCCACCTGGAAGCTGGCGATTTTGCCAGCGCCGGACCCGTGGGGGGTGGGGGAGCCTCGCAAGGGTCCTGGAAGGCTCACCCGGACCCTTGCGACACTCCCCTCCACGGGGCCAGAGGCGACAAAATTGCTGCCTTCACTCCATAAGACGCAGGGACTCCCCCCCCCCACATTTTGGGGGGGAAGTGTGTCTTATGGAGCAAAAAATACGGTAGATCTTGATTATTACTTGAAGGAATTGATTACTAACTTTATGACAAGTGCTAGAATATTAAGACAAAAATGATATTAAATTAGAAGATTGGTATGGTGAAAATGAAACATTGCATTAAATGATAAATTGACTACTGAACTCAAGATGAAAAGAGGGGAAATAAGTTCCAATATTTTCTATGCTATTTGGGGTAGATTTGTTGAATTTGTATTAGGGAAAGGAGAGGGGAAAGCCTCTAAACAGCAATCTATACAATTTTGGAAAGGAAGTTTGTAATAAAAATATTGTTCAATGGGTCCCATGGGTATGGGGTGCATGGTAGAATTTAATGTATAGCAAGCACTATTATTTAAATTTTTGTATTTTTGTTGTTGTGTTTGTTTTCTATTTTAAAAAATAAAATTAAAACAACAGCAACAACAAAAGAGCAGGAAGACTGCAGAAACATGTTACCTTTTGCCATTCTTATTATGTTGGACCTTTATTTCATACTGCCCAAATAGTTTTTTGACATTTATTGTTATAACCTTCAGGGATGTTTTCATGTGTGTTTTCTTGGAACATTGTGTCCCAGAATTATTTAAGACTTTAATGAATTTTTATTTTAATTTAAGGTAGCAGTGATGGTTCGGAGCTCAGTGAAGAAACTTCCTGGCCAGCATTTGAAAGGTAAAAAAAGCTCTGTCTTTTCATTTTGTTCAGACTGATGGACTGCTGCTTCACATGTGATAGGTCTGCATTTCTGTGTTGGAAAAAAAAATGTACAAAGTTTGTATGGAAATTGTTTGAATACTCATCCCAGAGGGTTTCAGAGTGTGGGTGGGGTTGTTTTTATTAATCATGGCAGACAGGTGAAAACTGTGGAGCCCTGTGAGTTTTGTTAAAAGCTTTGGAAATAACTCCCTTATTTATAGTGTATAGTGAATAATTAACATGTTTGGAAAGAACTTTCTGATAAGAATATGAACTTTCTAATTAGAGTAATTAAGAGGAAAAGAGATGTATGTAGCTAGCCGGATTATCTTTATGAAAATCTAGCCTGAGGAGATGAAAGTTACAAATGTCTCAGTAGAAAAAAAAGAGTAGGGCAGCTTGAGCTATAAATCTTAAATAACTCCTATTTAAAATAATTCACAGAAGTTGGTGACTCAGATACAAATGTAATCTGATAGATGAACAGAAGAGAGATAAAGTCCTGGACTGGATTAAGTCACACCAGACCTGGTCTGGATTCAGTAAGATAGATAGAGAGAGAGAGAGAGAGAGTACAGTGTGGGATTTAAAGACTGGGTTAGTATGACTTTGAGATGTTGTAGTCAGATTTGCTGGTTTTTATAAGAAAGATTTGTTTGTTAAAGTGGCTAGAGAAAAATAGGGAAAATTGTCATGTAAGGATGCACCCATTCACGTCTATCAAGATGTTTGCTTTCAGATTGTATCTTAGAGAAGAGCAAAACCCACTGTTACAACCAATAACAACCATCCCCTTGAAGAATATAAGATATAATTGGGGGTAGCAAGTATACTTGAGAGTATTTTCACACTGGAAAATATCATAGAATAACATTAGTGGATCAAGGCTTGGATTTGCTTTATGAGTGGTATTTGATCAATGAGAAACAATGGGGAAAAATCACTAGAAGGCAAGAAAAATATAAATCTACTAGCTCTGAGGGGGAAGAAGATCTGGAAGGAGCAGTTGGTGGATAATCAGTTGACTAGCTTTAGCCCCAGGAGACATTATCAGTGTGTTGAAACTTCAGTGGAAGAAGGGGAGGGATAATATTGGTCTGTGTCAGGGTGGGGAATTGGGATGGTGAGATAAAGATGTTTCTGTTATGGGAGTTATTTGCTTTAGGGAACCAAAACAGAGACATGAAAATGTGAAAATATGGTTGAAACTTTAAGAATTTCAACTTCAAGTATGAGAGTGTTATAGAAGCGAAGAGAATAAGGAAGAGATAAAACGGACATAATTTTCTTACAAGAAATTAATCAAACAAAAGATGGGGTTTATGAACTGAAACTAACTTGGTTTGATATTTATGAAAAGAGGTATGGTAACTCAAGGTCAAGAAATTTCTCCAAGAAATGTAAATTTAAATTGAAAAAAATGAAGATGATGATAGAGGGAGAAGAATACATTCTGATTAATATATATTCAAATGAAATCAAGTGGCATTTTTCAAAGAAGTGTTTAAAGAGTTAAAAAATTAAAATATATGCTGAAGGGATTTGTAATAATGGCAGGAGATTTTAATATGGTAATGGGGAAAGAAATCAAAAGGAGAAAAATGATTATATTACAGTTTTGAATAAGGAGGAAAGGAAAATGGATTTGAAAGTTGTTTGGAGGGAATTGAGATATTAAAATATTATTTATTACTTTCCCGTTCATAAAAGCTTTCCTAAAATAGATTATATGTTTATTTCTAAAGATTTGACTTTTAAAGTTATGAATATTGGTGTAAGTATTGTAAAGATCATGTTTGATCTTTAGGCGGGGAAAATTCTCTACGGCAGAGACTGGATTCAAGTTTAATGGAACTGGATTGATTAAGCATATGGACAACTTTAACTTGGAATACAATTTTTTGACAATTGGAACATAATGACACAACAAGGACAATTTTGGGAGGAAACAAAATCTACCCTTCAAGCAATCTTAGAAATAGTGAGATCCCACAACAAACAGGCAAAATTATTCACAGCATAGTTGAAGAAGAATTATAGTCAACAGGAGACAGGAAATAATGAACAAGGAAATGAGAGGGTGATGGATGGTGTATGCCAACCTAAAGAGAGGCTGGAGGAAACTAATGGGGAAAACCTGGTGGAGTTGAGGAGAATAATAAGGGAAGATAAGGGGAGAAAATCAGCAGAATGATTTAAAAATATCCTGGAAGATTATTGGAGATAGACCAAGTGTATAAAGATCTATTGGAGGTAAATCAAATGCGTAAAATGGTCTCAGAGGACACAAAAGATGGCAGAATGTTTAGAAAGACAGAAACAAAAATTGAAGAAGATTAGGAGAAGGAATTACATAGAAAGATGAAAAAGGGAAAAACAGAAAGGTGGCCCTCAATGTTGGGAAGCATGTACATACTTGAGTTCTCGAATTGCAAAGGGCTATATCTTATATATTAAAAAAGAGAATTAAACTGAAATAAGGGAGCACTAATCAGGGTAAAGGCATAATATGGTGGGGTGGGGGGTTTAAAGACAAATTGAAGCTAGATATAAGGTTGGGGTAAACAAATAGTACATAATGAACATACATTAGATATGATATTGTTATAGACAGGATAGAAAATGTGGAGATAGAAACAGCTAAACAACTATACAAAATCTGTATAGGATGCTCTAGATCAGGGGTCTCAAACATGCTGCCCAGGGGCCATTTGCAGCCCGCCGGATGAAAGTTTGTGGCCCCCGCTTTGTCTACCCCTCCCCAAAGCGCCCACAGGTCCTCTGCTGTTAATAATTTTTTAAAAAGCCTAGCCTCACTCGCCAGCTCTCTCCCAAGACAGCGCCTCTTGCACCCTCCATCCGAACTGCAGCCTGCCAGCCAGCCTGCCTGTCTGCCGGCTTGCAGGCTGCAGTTCCAGATGGAGGGTGCAAGAGGCACTGTCTTGGGGGAGGGCCAGAGAGCAAGGTGAGGCTTTTTTTGACTCTTGACAGCAGAGGACGCTGGGCATTTCGGGGGGGAGGCAAGGTGGGGGGAAAAAAGTATAGTCTGACGGGCCCCAAATGGCCTGCGGGCTGCATGTTTGAGACCCCTGCTTTAAGGGGTCATTAGGCTTTTTTTTTGGTATTTTTAGGTGCATTATAAGTATCTGAATTTTTTGTTTGTTTGTTTGTTTGCTGTTTATCTCCCTACAGGGGACCCAAGGTGGCTCACAACTACTGAAACTATATAAAAATCCCCACCTTTTTCCAAAGCAGGCATAAAACATCACTTTTTAACTCCTATCAAATTCTGCTCATCAGGATGATTACTTTTTTCAAGTTTTTATTATAATATTATTAGTGCTGGCTAATTGAAATTTCTCATGGAAGGACCTGATAGTTTCTCAGTGAATACCTAGATGGACCATGTCCATCAATAGCATTTGATGAAAAATTAACATGTAAAGCTAGAGTAACAAAAGGAATAGAAACATGAGACAGATTCATGGAAATGTCATCTGTTTCTTTATGTACATTAATTCTGCCTTCATTGGACTGCCCTAAGGTCAGATCAGGTTCTGGAAAGATGTCCTGTGAATCATTATAAGAATGAACTTTTGTTTTTGTTTTTTTGTTTTGTCTTTTTGTTTCTTTTTGTTGTTTTCTGAATCTTCAGTGGTAGATTTTGTATTACAGTGGTGCCTCGCTGGACAGTTACATCGCATGACAGTTTTTTCACTAGACAGTGACTTTTTGCAATCGCTATAGCGATTCACAAAACAGTTATTCCTATGGGGGAATTTCGCTGGACAATGTTTGGTCCCTGCTTCGCAAACCGATTTTTGCTAGACAACGATTTTGACAGCTCCCTCCGCGCTAGCAAAACGGGTGTTTTCGAGACCTAAGCTTCACAAGACAGCTATTTAAACAACTGATTGGCAGTCCACAAAGCGACTTTCCTATGGCCGATCTTCGCTAGACAATGCCGATTCTTTCCCATTGGAACGCGTTAAACAGGCTTCAATGCATTCCAATAGGGAAATGCTTTTTGCTAGACAATGATTTTGCTAAACACCAATTTCAGTGGAACAGATTATCATTGTCTAGCAAGGCACCACTGTAATAATATTCTCCCATTTAGTTTCACTGGAATCAGTGAAGTCTGACAGTAATAGTTTTTAATGTTTGTGTTACCTTGCATTTATCTTTATTTTTACCTTGTAATTATCTGTACTACAGTATAATAAACATTTTTTTAATCCTGGAAAGAAATGTCAACAAGGAAACTATAGTTTTTGTCAAAAGCAATTCCCATACCATGATCTGTTTTCTCTGTGAGAAAATATATTCCTTCTAAACACATCAAATATTACAGTCTGTACACCATAAACATTTGCCCAAGTGGGATTCTAGCCAAGACCATTGGTACCATCTACCCTATTAAGTAAAGAAAATATTTTAACACCAGCATACTGGCTTGTGCTCAATGCAACACTTCTGGAGCAGTTTTGTTGTTGCCCTGTGGCTGTTGAGGGCTTGACAAGGCAGCAAAAAGACAGGAGGGAGGACTTCTTACATCACTGGCTACCCAGTGCAAGAGCTCTGAGAGCCAGGAGCCATAGGACATATGAGATTTAAAGAAGAGTAGATCTGAAACTAGTGAAAATGTTAGTATTAAGATTATTTAGAATGTTAATTGTTTTACTGTTTTAGTCTGTAAATTATTTTAAGAAACTTTTGTTTAAAAACAGTATGTAAATATTTCCAGTATAGAAGATTATGTAGCATTCAGTCACATTGTGAATGGTTGCATTGCAAATCAACTGAGGCCTTGTATTCCACACACCTTTCTCTGTGCATAAAATATCTCTGTGTGTATGTGTATAAGTAAAATTGAATGCAGAACCTTTGATGTGAGAGAAACAGAAAGTTCATATTCCTCAAGATATTGAAAGATATTACAGTGCTTTGCACAATAATAAATGGTAGAACATGCA